AAAATGATGCTCTCAATTAAATGCTTTCAATCCTTTTTTCTGTCCGGCTGAATGGCGTTAATTTAGATTGAGATCTAGATTTGTCGGTTATTGAAGCATATATTATTCTGGGTTTATTCACATCAAATGCTGTACTGTAATTTTTTATTGCACATTTTTGTTTACAAAACCTTTTTATACACGGCGCGATATGTACAAACGGCCATAATTTCTTTATTTTAAATACAATGTCCTACATAATGTCCAATTTCAGTTACAATACCCATCTTCAGCTGTGATATGGTTTGTGCATAAAGTTACTATTGGTTGAGTATTACTGTAATTTTGGTGTTCCCTGTGTTATATTTGGCCTCGAATTTTTCTCGAACCGTTTGAAGGAGTACGTGATATCATCATCTTGATTCTTGAAGAGATACAACTGATAAATCACTTTTCCAGTTGAAGTTCCTCTTCTTTCTTTAAAACCCTATATGAATCAAATGTCGTTTTATTCATTATAGGTACAAGGTGACACAGGAATTTGCAGTAATTTTAATTTTTCCAGAAGGAGTGATTATTATTTGCATGAACATTTATTGATAAGGATCAGGTCCAAACAAAGGATTTAGATTATTTTGTTTCATTGATTGATATTTGCATTCAATTTTAGTAATACCATTCCCTTGGTTGGATTACAATTTTGAGATTTTGAATGCGCATTTTTCCGGAGCCACGACAGATTGTAGAGCGAGTGCCCTGCCGTCGCATACGTGAGGTAGTGCAGACATCTCGAACCTCCTATAATACTTTTTGAATATTCTAATTTTGCGTCTGAAATGTTGTGTGATGTTTATCGGATATAAGATTTGAACCTTTTCCCATGTTAATTGCCTATGTTCGGTTTTGGAATATTCACCCGGTATGTTAAAAAAAATAACACTTTAGATTCTTATACAACCCTTTGTAACAATTTTGTATTAAATTCAAGGAGTGAAGCTGGAAGAATTGCTTAAAGTAATCCATTCGCCTTGAACTAATTTTTAATAACAGATAAAAAATGCTTCTTCGATTGCGTGAGGATAATAAACCACGATTTAATTCCTACGGATTACTCTACTCGCTCGAGTCGAATTGCCTCCTTACGAATGAAAAATCCCTCAATTCAAAGTCATTTTTGATTTAAAAATTTATTAAATAGACAGAGACTGCTTTTAAAATCTTAAAACTGCAACTTTTAAAACGTGACTATTAGTATATCCTGACCAAAGTGTCCTTCGACCTGTTGTTCCACTATGCGTTAAGAAGGGGATAAAATCCTTGCTTAGACAGAATTCCCCGGGGCACCTTTTCCGTGGACTGCTCTGGACAGTTTTCTTTTGGGCGCGATTGTGTTCTTTGAATCAATTGGAAACTGTGCGTTTGCGAGTCGATAGTTAATAGTGTGCGGATAAATCCAGAAAAATTTAAATTAGCGCCATTCAGCAGAGCAGAAAAAAAACCGATTGAAAGAATTTTATTTGAGAGCATCACTTTATTTTCAGTTTGAAGGCGTCGCGTTTTGCACGAACCCTTGTGCCATCGAACAATGACAGTGATAAGCGAAAGGATCGATCGTTACATTACTCACATAAAGAGAAAGCGCAAGTAAAAATTACACTTACAGAATTTCAATGCCGGAAACTCCTTTGAAAAGCCAGTCCGTGTTTGTAACATAAAGGTTTAGTGGGATCAAAGTATTACAAAGAGCTATTGCTTTTCAATGTAAAATCCTGTTAAAATAGATCAAAATCTTTGCCTTTGCCTTTTAACTTGCTTATTTTTATCCATATCGATTGCTCCAATGTTTCTAAATAAATAATAAATACGTACGAATCTGTATCGAAGAACAAGAAGGCAGCTACAAATTTAATAAACCCTAACTAAAAACGATTGACGAATACATTAAATTTTAACCACAATTTATATACCCCCTTATTAAAAACTTTAGCGATTCAATCTTTCAATGTTGAATATTTTAGTAACTAGACATTGAAATGAACAAAAGTAAGTGAAAAACCATTACATGCTTTCATTGATTCCAAAGCAAACAATAAGTACCACACTACAAAAACAATAATCGATAACTAAACGGTAATAGGATAAAATTGGTTGTTGTTGTAAGTATTATGCTTTTGTACGTATAAATGATCAAATTGTTTGTGTTAACAAAATATCTTAAATAAATAAACTATAACATTCATAAGAGAGAGATAACTGGTTTTTTTCAGTTATGTACTGATTTTGTAGTATCAATGCGCGATAGACTGAATCTTAAATAAAATCTGTATTTCCTTTCAGTTTGGGATTTTACCTTTTAAAGAGCATTGCATATGGGAGAATTCCAGTCTGTGACTGAAGCTATATATCTACCGAACCGTAGGTGTGGCTGGGTTCCTGTGCGAAGCACAAATGAATACTGGCGAAGCACTAAGGATTCTGCCAGATCACGACATTTGTGCTTCATTAATAAATAGCTGTGGCTAGCCTCTAATTTTGAGGCTTTATATCTCCTAAACCGTAAGTGTGGCCGGTTTTTGGTGTGAAGCACAATGCAGCACTTTGCATGGTGTCGTCATTTGCGCTTCATATCGATAGGTATACGTCAACGTCTATATTTGGACGTGTTTTACTAATTAAATACTAAGTATAATAGGAAAAATACTCCGTAAGCACTTGCACCAAATTGCAGTTATAATATTACGTTTCTAACAAAGTCGTTTGAACTGAGTTTATTATTGAATTTCTATAGTCACAATTTCGCCACTTGAGACGATGTATCCAGCGACTTATTTAATACGCCAACAAATACAGTACAAAGTTTTAATATCGCGTATCCATGAATCTCGTTCACTCAGCACGCTTCCCACGCCCATAAATGGCGAATTATCTTCCAAAAGGGCGATGTATAATTGTTTATTGGCTAGTGCCTTTTTTTCTACTAATCCTAGATAATTTTAAAGGTCGTTAATCAATCCCATCTCACGAAACAAGCTGTCTCAACACGTTTACTGCCTCTCATGATGAGTTTACCAATGTAATACTATATCTCGATTGAAAAGATAGAAATATAACGTAATTAAAGGACAATAGCCCATTGCAAATGACTAAAGTCGCAGAAATGCCAATTTATTACGGTCTTTATTGTATACATACTGCATTTAAAAGCACAACTACAGTCATGGCTACCTATATCACAAAAATGTTGAGTTTCTAAATAATGCATTAAAAGTAGGAGTTGCTAGAGACTGTTCCTAGGTATGTTTCCTTAAATTTCATGCAGCATGGTTGATTCGTAGTAATACTTTTGGTTTCGAGACTAGACATTTCAGAAACAAACCTTCAAAACGGTATGCTGTTGATGAGATGTCATTAGAAAATGGACATGCGGTTCTACGGTTGCCTCTCTGTGTATTTGTGTGTGTTACATCAGGGTTTTTGTTCCGAAGAAGGTTTCCCTGACATCGCCTAGTTGTGTGCGTAATATATTTTAATTATGTTCTCGTTTTTTAGTACGCAGAAAACATGTCCAAACAATAATGTCCATCTTGTTAGTAAAATATTGCGACATAGATGACCTGTTTCAATAACTACCGAAATATTTTTTTAGTAATTTGTCAATAGAAGTCTTTAATATAATGGGTATCCTACCAACAATGCAGCACTGTCTGTACGGCTGCCTATATACGTATTCTCTTCGATTGATTGCATGATGCTATGTAAACATACTTAGCGATGACGTCATAATTCACCCATGACGTGCTTGTAAACTCATTAAAATCCTACGATAGCAGTGAAATTTCATTTTACACGAACGAAAAGGAATTATCTTTGAATATATATTATTGTTACTTTGGAAATTAATCTTTTCCTCTCAGGAGTTCTTGCTTCATTTCACTCAATTTCAATAATATGTTTGTATTATGTTCTTTGAATGTTTTGTTTTATTATAATACATAGCTTCTGACATTTGTTTGTCGGAAGGTGGGAAAAAAAATTTGTTTTAGGGTGAGAATTCGTGTAAAACAAATTGAAATGCATGTAGTACCAAGCAAGCACCTCTAATTTTAAGCAAACTACGCTATCTACACATTTAACTAGTAGATATTCAATTTGTATACGTAATTGTAATTAAGTAACTTGATTTGATCTAGTATTCTGCTTTGATTCGCTGCTAAAATAACTTTCCAATCCCAATATCGTCACGTCCATACTTTATTAGACATTAAATATTAAACTGCGTATACCGAATAGAGACCGCTCCAGCTTCAGCACAAACTGATCGATTAAATTAAATATTAGTTAGATATTCAGCGACATCATTTGAGAAGTATATACAGAGTGGGGCAGGAAAGCGAGACGTTTTTGGGAAGCAAAACAATCGGAGAACTTTGTTTCGAGAGTGGAAGATATAAACTGTTTGTTGCAAAAATCGTGGTATTAAAACCAAGAAAAATTGCGTAAAGACATTGTGCTAGTGGAATCACTTCCAAATGTGAAAATGTGATGTATTTGTATATTTGTGGCGGCCAATTTGAACATTATCCCAGCGCGGCACTTATACTTGTTGGACAACTAACTTAAAAGAGCGAGCGTTCTTTCGAAATTTATTTTTTCTATCTAAAACGTGGGAAAGCAGGTTTTGTTGAATGTACTATGACAAACCAGCAAGAGTGGAAATTGACTCAGCGTTTTAAGGGTCCATGAATAAAACTTAAAGTTGCAAATGACTTTGTCAAGTTTAAAAGTTTTGCTAATTGAGATCAAGATTAAAGATCAACCCTTAGCGCTACGAAGCTTTAATCGCAAAATGTAAATTTTATTTCGCTATAAGCTGTTTCGATTAAAATACGCATTGCATGCCCCTGACTGAAATGCATTGTAGCTGATGCACCTCAAACTCCAATTGCAAGTTGTACTATAGTCCAACTTGCCGCAACGTGAGTATGAAAAGCTCAGAGACATAAATCAGAAACGGTACTCACCGAACAAAAATTCAGCAAAAACTAAACGTCTACCGAAAACCCCTTCCAACAAGCTTCGTTCCTATTTCAAGTAGTCCTGGATAACGTAAAAGCACCACTACAATTTTAGCGATCTATACTGAATTTCAGCTTATATACGACGCGCTCGTGGAAAACCGTCCAATTTCGTACGGAAAAGCGTCCTAGATCGTGGGCGTCCAGGTTACCCCAGGATAATTATACAGTTCCAAGTAATAATTTTTCTGTTAGAAAACTAAACAAAATCCGAGACTTGGAAACTTGTCTCAATTTACGTATTAACTCTTGAGGTCCCACGTTTAACGATGCGACGTCTTTTTTATTTCAGAGAACAAAGAACTTACTAGGGATGCTAATCAATGGCTGCACACATATTTACGAGCGTATAGGGAAAATACGATCTTCTGAATATTCGGTTGATTATACAACGCTGCCATGGCTGGAGTCGTATAGAGCAAACAAGTACGTTTCCATTCTTGACCGTAATCCCCCTTTGGGTAATTAGTTATTATAACATTCTAATGTATTTATTCTGTCCAATTGCTTAATAAAGACATTTATTATTATTATTTTAATGGTGTAATTTTTGTTAGTTGTAGGCGTATGTACAGTACGAATATTTTCACTTTGGAAGCTGGATAAATACTACAGCATCAATTTTTGTCGCCAATACTCCCGTTGACTAAAATATTGTCTAGGAACTGACTTATTGTATACCCAATTTTGTTTCAGTAAAAGTTCTTTTGGTCTTCGGCCCTTCTCATGATTTGTTTTGTACGTTGGGATAAATCACTTCACTTAGATATATGGAGAAATAATTTCAATTCATTCAGTAGATCTGGGGGATTATTATTTACGAAATAAACACAAAGTTAGCTCGTTTTATTTGAAGTTGTATTTCCGTATTTGTTTTTCGTACGGAGAAATAATTTCAATTCATTCAGTAAATCTGGGGGATTATTAAATACGAAACAAACACAAAGTTAGCTCGTTTTATTTGAAGTTGTACTTCCGTATTTGTTTTTCGTTTTAGAAATGTTGTTAGATGCGTAATTTTTCGCTATAATGTTTATGCAGTTTAGATAATGTGCTCTAACTAAGACGCAGCTCGTCAAGTTTTCGTATTATAAAAGGTTATATCTGGTCGTTTGCGATAAGAAGTTTGATCGTTGGATGAAATCTCTGAACAGAATGTAAAAGCGAAAGATATGGAAAGCATGGTTGATCTTTAGTATTGCTTTTTAGTGACAAACCTACGCGTGAACTACATTTTATAAAACTTGGCAGATTTAGCACAGAAATTTGTTACTAAAAGCGTATCCAGGAATTGAATGATGGTGAAGGCATTAAATGGATTTATATTAGAGATGATTTATTCACACATCGCATGATATACAACTGACAATGCAGGTGCAGACCTCACCAAAAGCATTCCGGTGTGTCCGTAATGTGTTTAATTAGAGCACTATTATCGTCGATTTGAGTTTCCCTCCGTTTAATGGTACTGGGAGTGTGTATTAATAATGTATTAATAAACTTTAGCCCGAAATCAAATGATTTGTTGTCGCTATATGTGTCTATATTGAAGTATATAATGGCAATCGATAGCGTAGACACGTTGGATAGCATACGGAACGCCAAGAGAAAAAGTTTTTCTCTTTTTCACAACTTTTTAAACACAGTTTCGTCAACAGCCACTGCGCTTACGAGACTTTTTGCTCACAATTCTTTTAATTTAATTCCGCTGATTTTCTAAAACAGTAAAAAAGAATGCAAACCAAAATATGTGTATCTATAAATTGTAGTGGGCTAACTAGAACATGTGTAGAAATAAATTTCGATGACATTTAGCTCTTTTGAGGCAGTATCACAAGACTGATACTTATTCGTCGAGGACATCGTAAACAACCCCCAATTTTAACGGAGGATATGAAATGCTTTACTTTTTGTGGAAGAAAATCCCATGAGAAACTTAACGGAAATAGTGGCCGAATTTAATATCTCTTCATCATAACGTAAAAGCATACTATTTACGATTGACTGCAAAATGCGTGCGCATGTTATTTCGGTTGCATAAAATTAGGCGTCTTCCAGAAGGATTTTTGTCATTTAAAAGTTGATCCCTAGTCTACTTCTAAATGGATAGCACTGTATATTACATCGATCCATGGTTATCATCGCCCATACGATCGGAATTTGATATACCAGTTTTACCTAGGAAAAGAGACAGGTTTTGCCGAGGCACCTCTGTCCCTTGGGCCAGAATTTCGAATGCAATCCGATAATTAACTAATTTTTGACAAATGAGGATCCGTACAGCAATTATAGATTTTTCCTTAGCCACTGATTCTATATTAAGATCTTGGCGTGTGGCATTAAAAAGAATCGGCATATTTTACTCTCTACCATAAAAAAAACGTCGTGAAGATTTCCTCTCTTTATTGGAGAATGGGAGACTCAAATTATTCATCTTTTTGTCCATACAGGGCGCATAGGAAACAAAGGGGTGAATTAAAAAAAGTTCAAGAAGGTCAATTTCGAACTTGTTGGGAACATCGATTAAGATGAGATGTTCCCGATAATATTTTCATCCCTTAGCCTAAAACTTTCAAGTTTTTAATCTCCATGGACAAAATTTTCATCACGCTTATAATTTAATTCGCATTAGCTCCTGTGCAAAAGTCCCAATCCTCTTTTAGAATACTTATTAAACAAAAAAGGTGACCTCAATTAATGGTACCCTTTGTGAATACCGAATAAACTTCTTTGTTAGCACTGGTCTATTATAATGCATAATTTACCACGTCAAAAGCGAATTGCTACGCATTTTCATATCCATTTCTATCAGACATGGGGAGATAGGATCTTACTGACACATGTCCGGAAAATTGGGAAATACAGAGAACTTTAACTCTATTAGTCACTATTTAACGTGAATGTGAGAATACCTTTGCGTGATAGGTTAAAAGACGGAAATTAAGTTCGTTCTATTATAATAATACTGTGTGCGCAGTAAAAGGAATGGAATATGGAAAATGAATTTCAATTATTGGTGAACTTCACCCCTGAGTGACATTGCATCTTTTTAATTAAATTCTAGGTATAATGAATGGGGTGTGCGAGCAGTATTTCCCGTAAAATGAATGAATATAGTAGTGTTTTCTTTATTATGTTCAAACTTCATTCTAGGTAAGTACTTACTTGATAAACCCCAAAGCAAACTTAATATTTTCATTTTCCAGACTGTAGACCAGTGGATATTTCTGACTATTGGTCCATCCAGCCGAATATAACAAAAAAATAACTTTATTTAAAATAAGCAAAATATCAATAAGACAATAAATTAAAATTTACAAGTACATACACAACAATAATTTACAACAAATTAAATAACTTATAACAAAAATTGAGAGTCTTTAATCACACAGGCACTAACAGTTTCTGTTTGGGTCAATGTATACCGGTCACAGATTCAATCCATGGCTTGTAGTAAGCTGTTCTCATGTAAACGCCTGGAAGGTAAGGCGCTGCGCATTTAATACCGTGAGATACTGTTCCTGCTAGCTGGTATCTACCATCCACTCGTTGTAGGACAAGAGGACCACCGGAATCACCCTATAAAAAATTGAGAACATTGTTAGACCGTTGAACGTAACACAACGTTTTCTAGTAATTGAACCTTTTTTTGCGTCATGTGAATAAATCAAATCAATTACGGCAATTACATTTACACGAAATAAACTTACAACAATTTAATTTTGGTTTAAATTACACCAGAAACTTACGCATTAAAACAGAGAAAATGAAATGATATCAGATATAAAGAAGGTGAACGTTAATACGAAGTTCTAACAAGGTTTAGTTCTGAAAACCCTGAGGGAAATCAAAGAACATTATCTACTATCTTTCGTGTAAGTTAGGAAATTAAACTGGTCGCTTTAAAAGTAAGTACAGAAAAAAGTAACTTACCTCGCATGAATCTTTTTGTCCGTTTGCATAACCAGCGCACAGGAATGACTCCAATATAACTTTAGAATGGCCCGCCGTCCGGAACATTTCCTGGCAGACCTGGTTTTCCATTATGGGAACTTGAACTTCCTGTAATATTGACGGAACTCCACCGCCGTATTTTAATCTACCCCAGCCGGTAACCGTAGCCATTCGCCCAGTAAAGTCTTCACTTTCGCGAGGTAGACAGATAGGAACTAAAAGCAAAAGTATGGTTATTTATTTATAACTTGTGAACAATGCGAAATTGAGCTTTAATTCTCGACGCGCTTTGGGAATGAGATCGATATCGCAGAACGGTTTAATGAAATGTGGCATTGGAGAAATTTAGTTTCAGTCGAGGTTTCAGCTTTGAGGATCTCTCTTTGAATTTTAAAAGGTTCACGCTTTCGTGATTTCAGGATGGTGTAATTACCATTCGGTTGCACGTTCCTTAAAAGATTGAGCTCCAGCCCATAATAAAATATCGACGAAAACGAAAACTGGTATCGAGTTTTATAACACAAAGGAATCATTTCGGAAAATTAACTGACTTCTAAGAATCTGTCTACTCATCACATGTTTAAGGCTCGTGACATTCTTTGGATTCTTTTCGTTCTTCAAATTCTTCAGATCCTTACAATTCCTTAAATTGATTGAAATTTTGGGATATTTTGGACTTGGCCAATGATGGACAGGGCCGAAGAACTAACAGTAGGTCCTTTAAGGGGTTGTTTTGGCGTTAGGGTTTGACAATCTAACTCACAGAAAGAAACGAACAACGAAATGTACAAACACGAAAATTAATTCCCGAAATTCGATAGGAATCGAAAGACGGATGGGGGTAATATGGTACAGATTTAAGAAGTCTCAGTCTCAAGCAAAATGCAAACAAGAAAAAATAACACCCTTTTCAAAGGTCTTTGCAAGTGCAACATTTTACAAACTCAGGCACCTCTAAATAGCATTATGCGCCATGCGGGTCACTCTGTAATTGGGCGCATGCCTGTTGAGGGCCCAAAACAAGAGAGGGATAAAATTAAAATTAAAATTAAGAGAAAATATTTTATAAGGATCACGTAGTCTTTTTAGGCTTTAAAGGGGATGGCTTTTGATGCATTTATTTTAAAGATTCTGACATTTGATATGTTACCAACATTGTTTAGTTTTGCGGGAAATTCAAACTGTCCGCAGTCATTTTGGATCACCCGGTATATATGGACATCAAAAACAAGAAAAATTAAAATTGTATTAAATTAAATTAAAGTTAAAGTAAAGTTGTAAAGGAAAACGAAACACCACCATAAAGGTTAGAGGTGTGACAAAGTAAAATGGGAGCATAATAAATAACACGATCCACCCCAATGAACAACACAGTACACACAAACACCGCAATAAGAAAACTCTATAACAACGTCTCGAATTATTTACGACACTATGGGAGGAACATGTCTTATGAAAGAGAACTAAATAATATGGGCACTGAATATCACAAAAATTTTACACAGTAGGTATCGAAATTTAGTAAGTTGAATTGATTTTCCAAATAAATGATTTTTGGTGGAAATTCAAAGAATAAATTTGTCAACCGTGGTGCAAATATGGTGCGTTTTGCTTCCGTTAATTTCTATGGAATTAATGGGTTTTGAAAGCGTCTCGATCCGAGATGTCTGGAATTTATATCATATTTCATCTTTTTAATTAGCATTGGGTCACTCTCTTGATCAAGAGGAGATAAGTCAGCAAGATTTGAGATAGTTGTCCCCACCTCTTTTTTCTCTGCTTTCATGAATATAACGAATCCAATTGGCACGATTAAAATACATGGCGGACGTAGTTATTACACGTGATATTAAAAAGGGGCAGTTCTTAGTAAAACTACAATGGAAATAAGTTTCGTGGAAGATTTTGGGATTCATTAGGTTTTTCTACTGCTAGGGTAGTGGATGCGCAGTCTGAAAATTCGGGTTTTGATCGCAGAATTTGGAAAAAATGTTTGAACCAGATTCGATTTTTGAACAACCGTCATGACCAGTGTTTTTTGTTTGGAACGTAAAATATAACAGCGCGAGTTCCGGTAGTTAACATTAAAAAAGAAAAAAGTTTCAAGGGCTTATTGCAACCAGTAAGTTTTATACACACAGAAAAAATACGGATTATGATGAAAATTAATAGGAAGTAATACACAGTTAACGTCTCGCAAGAAATGTTTACGTAGGAAGAGAAGAAACCGGTGTATTTTGTCAAGAACAATTTAAGTAGGCGCGTTATCACAAAGAAACTTTGTTAAAACTGCTGTGTAAATGATTCCTGCCGTGAACCGGAAGGGGGGATTGCAATCTGGTTGTTCGTAGTGGTAAAATTATTCTCTGTAACTCATCAGAATAAATTCAATGAGATACATTAAAGTGCAAATTTTTACATAGTGAAGCTTTCTTCTACTTGTGATAATCTAACCAACTTTTTGGTCAAACTGGTTAACCCCAAACAGTTGCATTAATAAAATTGTGGGTTACTCGTAACTTTTAAAATAGGGTACACCAGAAAAGACAGCGTTCCGGAAACTTGAGAGAAACTTATGAGAAAAACTAGAAGTGAACATTGCATATCTAATTACATGATGAGGAAGCTAAATTAGCAAAAACAAAATACCTATGAACAGTGGACGAGCCGATAGAGCTGCAGATTGACAATATTGAGAGAAAAGGGCCAATACGAATATCTAGGGCTCATGGTAACGAAAAAAAAACGGCAACGGAGGATGAATTTGATCAAAGACTGGGGAAAACAAGAACATCAATTTAGAAAATTACCTACACCCCATCTGATGAGCTAGACACATGAAACAACTAAAACAGTAGTGTGAAACCTTATGACATACGGGCCAAAAAATTTGGTATTTAATAAAAAATAGTGAAGATCAGAGAATGAAAAGGAACGAAGAGGCAACAGGCAACACTAAAAACAAGAGAAAAGAATAAAGTGCTTCCGGCATGTATGTAAGAAAAGCCAAAGTTAGCAGATGTACAAAGAAAATGACAGAAAAAAAAGAGAGACCCCTCGAAGGCAAGAGAACGGACGAGAGACGGAGAGTGAAACGATCGAGATGGACGAAAAAAGTATAGCGAGGGAAAGCAGTGATTCCCATAGCATCTGAATTCTAAGGGAGAGCTTTTGACCTCTTGACTTCAGGGATGGAACCTATTCTCAGTTTTTTAATGAAAGATTAATATTTCTGCTATATGATATTCTGATACTTCTTAAAAAATTGGCGAATCTTCATTGATACGAAAGCAGGAATAGACGAAAAAAATCGAATTTTCGAGATTTAAGGGATTATATGTTCATGCTTAAAAGTTATTATGGGCTTAGTCTAATTCAGCATGGTAAATGCCAACCGTCGATGTAGGTAATGCGGAACTGATCGTTTTGAAAGTAGTTATAATTCAATTTAATAGGAAACGCATTTAATCGAAGAAACTTTCTACGAAATACAACGAAATAACATAAACGATCAAAATCGCTTCACTTACCTATATGCTCATCGAATAGTACAGGATGTTCAAGTTCAAGGAGTGCCAGATCGTTTTCAAATGTAACCGGATCATAATTCCGATGCACAATAACTCTCTTCACGTTTCTACTTAACGATCTTTTACTTTCACGTTCACCGGAAATGTCGTGTTCACCAAAAACGGCAACCAGCGAGGCCAAGAAACCGGGTTGACAATGCGCGGCGGTCATTACAAATCGATTACTAATTAAAACACCGCCGCACTTATTCTTCGTAAACAACCCCAACCATGTAGACTCGCGGACGAGAACTTGCCACGGAAATTCGCCAAAGGCCGCTCCCTTTCCGCCGACGATCCTCGCCGTTTTTAATAAAGGCCTTATACCACAATCTGAAATCAAATTATAGATTAATTAAAATCTGTAATCCCAGTTGAGCAACGTTAACGGGTTTTAATATTTGAGAGTAGTGCAAAACAACAATAATTTCTCATTTTGCTTCCTTGCCTTTGTCGCCTTTAAATTAGTTTAATACTAAGGAAGATGAGTGACTTTCGTATGCGAACTTTCTTAGTTTAGCAAATTTACACTAATAAGATCCCATCTTGAACGTACCAAATTGCTTGCATACATCAGGCCGCGCAATTACAGTTACGTCGGGTATTACTAGACAAATTAATTTTGAGGGTAAGCCGTTGCAAATAATGTCCGTAATCTCTGCGTTTGTAAACTAAAGCCATACTGTTGTAGCAACGTGTACGTGGTTATAAGCCTTTGAATTTCATTATGAACGATATTTCCCATCTGATCCCACCCAAATTGTTTTTGCGCAAATGTCCCCAGTGCACGAGAACAAAACATTGTCTGGTTAATACAATGAAGTTATATGTAATGATTTTCAGAATGTTGTGTAGGTTCGGTACATGCTGCTTTGCTCATGTACTTACATATTGAGTGGGAGTGAGTTCTGAAAATACAACTGTTCGTAGAGGTCAAATAAAAATAAATAAATTTAGACGTTTCCCAAAAACACTAGAATTGACGACATTTCTAGCAAAACTATTTTTTGCTTCCAATCAACTTTCTCAGTAAAAAGGGACCTAAGAAAGAAAATTGATTGAGCGAAGTACTTAATCGATGTAGCAATTTTTGACATGGATGTTTAATTTGCTTTTATAAGAAGTACGAATCACTCACTTTGCATGCCGTACATTTGATTCTACCAGCTTTAATGAACACTCGGTACCTAGGAGAAGGTAAGATTAATTGCCGTTTTAGCCGCCGATAAGAAAAAAAACTAGCTGCTGTATATATCATTTTTCTCTTTGTTCCCCTAGAGATATTCAGTTCCGTTAATTCCTGTAGCAACCGGTTTTAGTTTCCCATGTTAAAAAACGAGCATTACGACTGCAAGGCCACGCGGAGCTACACAGCTATCACCCAAAGTACCTCGCCCGCTTGACCCGGGATTCTAATTAACAGCAGGTGTTAATTATATGACCGATTTTAGAAATACATATTATTTTGGCAAAATAAGTAAGTATAGTGTATAAGGCACAATTACATAAAGAAGTTTTAATTTTTGGATCGAAATAACTAAATACGAGTAGAACCGGGAAGGTAATTTTCACTATACTCGCGAGATCTTATTTATCATCGTTCTATTAAATTTAAAGGTTAGCGTTTGCTACTACTCTTCAGGTAATTATAAGGGGGGTTGTGTTCAGTTTTCCTGCATTTTGTTTCTCGGTAGATACTGTTAATTAATTTGTCCTTCCGTTCCGCTTAAACATTTGTTACTGTTCATTCGCTAGAAGCCAACTGCCGCTGAGCGCAAGATCTCTGGAGACCGTTTCGCTGGCGGGTTTTCTGTGGCAACTGTTGCACAACCGTTGCGAATTCTTGTCCAGGGGCAATCCCATATTCCCCTGGTGGTGCCCGAGTCTACCGCCTCGTTCCGCCAGTTTTCGTTTGAGTTGGAGAATCTACCGTCCCGTGTCGTCAGCTTTCGTTTGAGTAATAATAATATATTTATAGTCCCAACAGAAAAAAAATTCCAAAAATCGGACAAAATCATAAAGAAATAATTAGTAGTCATACCTAGAGTTAAGCTCAAACTTAAAGTACACACGCAGTTTTAAAGTAAATAACACCCTAAAACATAAAAAAAGAAAACAAAAAGAAAGTATGAGTTGGAATGAATTTGTATATAGTTAATAGTTATATTATATATAAATAAGAAATTTACTTTTTATTTTTCAAGTGCGCGAAAGCAGCTTTTGAGTAAGTAAGATCGGTCCAGAAACAAAAAATTTACCTATGCGCATGCGCGCGCAGTGTTTCAAAAATTTCATACATATCCCTGTGTAAACAATGTTGGTTTGGACATATGAAGTTTAGGTGTAGGCATTTGAAGTGAATTCGGGTCATGTAATAATTAATCAAGTTGCTGTTTTTGTTGTTTTGAAGTTTGTCTACGTACGTAACTTGTTCCATTGTTAAACAATTTCGTCAAAGAGAAGCCAGTACGTGCTGAGAATAGCAGTTTCATTGAAGTTATCGGCCACGTTAAACGGGCAGCAGTCCGTCATAGGGGGCGTATCTTTGCCTTCTGCCAGATATCACAATCAACGTCTCTAGAGTCTGTTGGGGGGAAATGAATTAAGAAGACCAAGTTTTTTGTGTGTCACGTGTCCTTCTTTGTGCGCAGAAGGATGCGGCCTACCGGTCTGAAAACTAATAGTAGAAAGAAGTCTTAAAATCGTAAAGAATCTTAAGGGGGTAACGGTAGCTGTAAATATTGATTTATTTTTTTCGAAATTTTGGAACATTTTAGACATTGCATATCATAGAAATTTCACAGTGTCCAAATCTAACGGGTTGAATTGGTTTTCCAAATAAATAATTTTCTAAGTGGAAATTCAAAGAATAAATTTGTCAACTGTGATGGAAATGAAGGGGGCCTGAAGATCTCGAAAAACCGGAAGAGTCTCATAGGCCTATAGAATCTGAATGAGAAGCCTTAAAAGTATATTGGATATAAGCGTTCGAAGAAACGGAAGAATCTGAAAACCCAAAGAACCTGAGGGCTGAGTGCACTAAAGAATCCGACGAATCTGATGCATCGACAGCGCGATTTTGGAAAAATTCGAAGAAAGGATCTAATGAAAAAAAATCCGATACACTCGGGCTGCGAAGAATCTGGAAACGTTAAAGTATGGGTATGGGTTTGATGAATTTGAAGAACTGGCGGGATCCAAAGAATGTAGTGGATCCGAGAGTGGATCTAAAAAATTGAAGAATTTGAGTTTTAAAAGTCCAAGGAAAGAAAGAAGATTCAGATTGAATGATAAGATACATTCATATAAGCTGAAAATGTAGAAGAAGTGTTGGAAGAATTAAAAAAATACCGAGTCTGAAAGATCTGAAAAGCCAAATCATCTAAAGGATATAATGGATCTAAAAAATGTGAAGAAGAAGAAGATTTTTTAAAATCGATGGATCTCGAGGAAAGGGAAGAATTTGGACATTTTAATAAAACCGGAGAATCAACCTTGAGTAAAGCGAAGAATCGATAGGTTCGAAAACAGGGGAAAAAATCCGAAGAAACTGAAGAGATTTTTCGATTAGAAAAGTTCGAATAAGTCCACAGAGTATTAAGCAACTAAAAAGGCCTAATCAGAACAATCTTAAAAATGCAACAATCCGAGAGTGTATGAATAAATTGAAGAATCGGAACAATTTTAGGAGTTGACAGATTTAAAGAAATGCAAAGAAACAAAAAACTCCGAAAAAAGAGATCGAACAAACAATAATAAACTAGAAAACTATCCAATGGTCCAAGGCACTGGAAGAAACTAAAGAATTCTTAATGTCTAAAGAATTGGAACAAAGGAAACTAAGAAATCCGAAGAATCGGTTAACAGTGTAGCATTAAAGGATTCTGAAACCTGAACAAACAAAAGGAACCCGAAGGCGAAGAAATTGTAAAATTGAACACTTCGCAGAATCTAAAGTAGAAGAAAGCGGAGGAGCAGAAGGAACGAAAGATTTTAAAAAGTATAGAAGACAATCAAATGGAAATGAACAGAAGTCACGATTAAAAGCTCTTAATGAGGGAGAAATTTCCGAAAAAAGTTCTCCTTTTGGGCACTTCTTCCAGTTTTTCTCCGAGTTTCCTTTCGTTACTGTAGGGCTATGGCTCTACTGGATTCAAAAAGCGAACGACCGAAACCAAAAAGTGGAAGATGTAGTACATTCGTGCTTGCAAGGGCTTTCGGAGTGGGATTTCTAAAAGCCTTTGTCGGGGTGTTTATTCTTAGTGGAAGCGTAGGCTAGTTAATATCGAATGCGTAACAATTAAGTATTCGTTTGTTAACAGGAAGTAGGCTTAGGTTGGGAAATAGGTAGAGATCTTCAATTAGATCAACTCGTAAAGCTTTCAGCACGAAAGTGAGTATTAATAACAGAACTTCGTGTCCGATTAATCCTCCAAACGTTAAAAGTAATCCCTTTTCCCATTTCGGACTGGAGCTTTCGAATCCTTTTTTCTTTCTTTCGCTTAATATAATTTGTGTGGGTTGTCACATTTGAAACTTTCATTTCCAATTTGCTCTAACGTATACAGTCGCGTAATCACTTCTTTTTTAAGTTTGAATATACTCTAGGGAACAACTTGACAGAAATTCTGGAAACTTAAATAGCCATGTATTCAAGTTTATGTAATTCAGTTAAAGTACATACAGCAAATCAATAGAATTAATTAACGCTGTATAATTTCAACACACTCGTACAATGCATAAATAAGTTTTGCCCTTCGGGAATAAAAGTGCTTTCGCGCTTCCTTCAACGAGTTAGTATAAACTAGAAAATGTTAATTTCTTATTTTGTTGCCCTTCAAGATCTTGTGACCTCAAGTTTGCATAACTATAAAGTTTTAATAATTTCGTAGTTGCAATTAAGGGTTGCTCATTTTATTAAGAGACCTCACCAACGATTTTGATGAAATCAATTATGTGATAAGCTTTCCACTATGCAGGTGTTGGGGATAATATACTAAAATGGCGTTGGATTGTCCACATATATAAACTTAGAGAACTCAAAGTTTAAATTTAGCGTTAGAAAATGTGTACAGCTTAGGAACACTCACGATACTAGGATTTCGCAAATTCTCTAGAGGGATTTTATTAAAGGGGTAATGTATGACTTAACGATAAATACATGGACTTTATTAATAAAGTCGTTTGAATAACGTACCTACATCTAAAGTCAAACGAGAGTCAAATGTGAAAATTAGCTGCAAGCAAACGCACTACAAGTGACTTCCCATATACAAATGCCAGCGAATATGTCAACAACAGATGGCGAGATCCGCAGTGTTAATTAACATGTAACAACAAAGTTAGATCTGCTTAATGTTTAACAAACATAACGTGATTTGCATTATTCGGAATATACTACATTATTAATTTTGCCAAAATGCCGTTATAGCCCCGAAAACAATATTTGACTTTGAACAATATCAAATGCAGCATAGCTAAAGAATTTAAATTGGTGAAAATCTTCATACATGTTGTGAATAATTGCCTTTAACGGTATATAAATTGATTTGTAAATGTTTATTTTGATGGGAACAATAAAATTTATTACATTCATTACTACGGGTAACATGGTTTGTAACGACTGTTAGTTTTTAATTTGCAACTAATTTTCATAAATTAGCGTAAATTTGCGAGTTACCGATAGGAGCTTATTTTAATACTTTGCCCAATTTTTGATGCAATCACTCTAACTGCACGAAGACACAATGTTAAACCGTACAACATTTTTTTTGGTACCAAAAACTATAGTTATCTGCCTACAAGACTATTAGTAATATTATGTTTTTGTTTAATTCGTGTTACTCGAGAAATGCCGTTCTTCATTTTTACAAATTCTGAGGTCTCTCACAGAAAGCTAATATTAACAGACTTGGGTAAGTGCGAGTATTTTAAAATTTTGTGGGAGAAAATCTGTGAGAGAAAAATGTAATAAATCATGAAATGATACCTTGCTGTTTCTACTTGTGTCTATTAGCGATCATAAGTGCCCAAACTGCTTCAAAGTTTAATGTATCTGAATGTACCAAAACTAGTTTCGAATCTCAAAGATCAGAAAAATCCTATTAAACAAACATTCGAAGTACTCGAAAGCGAAGAATTTAAAAAATCTGGACAGTTTTGAGGGAACTGAATTTAAAGAATTCGAAGAATCGAAGAAAACTTAAGAATCTGAGGCATCTGGAGAATTTCCAGAATTGTAATATTTCAACCTGAAGTACCAAGGATCTTCAGAATCTTATGTACCTAAGTACCTGAAGAATTCAAACAAAGGGAGACATCCATAGAATCATAAGAATGTTCACCATTTAAAAAATCAAAAAGGTGCGAAGAACATTAAGAATCCAACGAACGTACTAGATCTGAAGAATTTGATAAATCTGGAGGATTAAATGGTAAAAATAAAAAAAATCATACAAACCTAAAAATAAAAGGATCTCAAAAAATTGAAAAGTCATAAAAACGTTTCTGAATGCTCTGATAGGATCAAAGAACCTGAAAAATGGGATTATAATTGAAGAAGAGGAAAATCTTGAAAGAATTTGTATAACAAAAAGACGTTGTTGCAAAATAGTGATGGGGACTGGAATGCTTGTTTTGGAGAAAGTAGAGTGAACTGAGTCCTTGGAGTATATGGACTGTAAACAATGAATGAAAGGGGTGTACGTCTAATAGAATTCTGCAAGGAAAGGAAGATTGGTTATAGCCAGCATTTGATTCAAACATAAAAGGAACCTTTACACTTGGAAATCTCCTGGAGACAGATTTAGAAAGCAGATTGATTTAACCATAATTAAAGAGAGATACAGAAATGGGTTAAAAAATTCGTGTGGATTGCCAAGGGCAGATATTTCTAATGACCATCTTCTTTTTTTGGTAAAGTTCGAAATAAAATTCAGGCGGATGGATAAAAAAAATAAAGAGGGCAATTGGAAGAGTCATGAAACTACAGAAGACAAACGGAAGACCATGAAGAATGTGACAATCAAAGTAGCGGAGAACGAGGTGGGGTATGGGGGAGGAAAAAGATCAAAGAAACTATGGATAACATTTGAAATTATTGAAAAGATGGAAGGAAGGAGGATGTATAAGCGATAAAATACGGCAGAGGGAAAAAAGAAATACGAAGACTGAATATTTAATTAAGAAGAGAAACTAACTGCTAAATAAATGCAAGGAGATAGAAGGGAACAAAGAAATGCGAGGAACAAAGAACCATCAGTGTTATAGATCATGCTCGTAAGATTTTGTTGGGGATGTTATTCTCTCCTATCAGAGTTTGAGGAGGATAATGGAGGAGGATAACGGGGTGTATATCAGTAGTAAAAACAATTTGAGAAATATATATGTAGAACGAAGAAGAATGTAAATCTGTCCCTAGTAGATCTGGAAAAGACATTCGATTGTGTGAAATCCAAAAAACTGTTAAAAGGGCAAAGGATGCGGATTGTAGAGAAAAAAGATTGATCAGTAACTTGTAAACAAAGCAGGAGGTGACATTGAATAGGAAGAGGAGCTAGGCAGGGATGTTGTCTATCAGCAACTTTATTCAATATCTATATCGAGGATATGGTAAGGAAGTGCTGGGAAAGGAATAAGGGAGTAAAAATAGGTGGCACAAATGTAATGCCAGTCAGGTTTGTTGACAATATGATTATATTTGTAGAAAATTGAATGGAATGTTGAAACAACTGGAAGAAATGGAAGACACGTATGAATTGAAAATTAACAAGAAGTGGAAGATAAAGAATGTTGGAGCAGAAGTAATGGATGGGTAGAGAAATTGGAACGAGTAAAAACAAGTAAACACTTAGGCACAGTAATATCAAACGATTGGTTGAGTGAAAAAAAGACAATGATAAAAACTGGAATGGCAAAGAAAACGTTTATGAGAAAGAGAGTGGTGCTTCACAGTGAGATGGATTTAAAATTAAGAAATGAGGAGAAATACAACTGTTAAGCAATATTAGAAAGATAAAGAGGAACTGGGTGGAGCACGTGTTGAGCGCTAATGGAATGATCGGTGGAGACGGAAGGTGGATGGAAGCAAAGAAGAAGAAAAAGGAAATTGATTGTCACCGAAGAACCTGCCAGCTGGCAGACAACTAACAAAAAGAATCGGAATTCGAAGGATCTTAAGAATCTGAAAAAGCTGAAAAAACTGGAAAATGGGAAAAACCAAAGAATGAAATTGATCCTAAACATCTGAGGAATTATAAAAAGATCTAAGCAACCAGAGGAATCAAAGAGATTGATGAATCTTAGGAATGAGAAGAATGTAAAGATATGATAGATTTTTAAAGTGTCCAAAGAACCGAAAGAATACGAACAGTTTCAAGAAACCAGAGAATCAGAAGAATAGGAAGAACCTAGACATCATAATAACTGCGAATCGTTCCTAGAAGTGTTCGAAGAGTAAATACAAAAAAATGGTCAACTTCCCCAAGACATGTTTAAACAGAAAATCCACAATGACAGTGATCAGTGAAATATGATTAATTTTCTACGTAAGCGCCTAAGAATTTGAGCTTTGCGTGATCTTAAGTCTAGTTACCAAAACGGTAATAATAAACATTTTTCCATTTATACAAAATTTACACGTTAAATGCATTGAAAATTGAGTTTCTTTTCGAACTAGAAATTTCCAACTTCCAGATTTAGTATGCGGCACTCCGGCTTCAAAGCCAAGTCGGAAAGTTGACCTTAAAATAAAAATTTCCTAAAAGCCCCAAAGCTCTGCACAAAATGTTAAGTTAAAAAGAGGTGGTGGTGCAGCATGAAGGAAATAACACAGAAGTGTAAAACTCTAGGTAAAACTACATTTCTACCCCGATGAAATTACTAAAACAGTTAATTGCACCTGAATATACATTATGTATAGGTTGGTGGTTTGGACCAAAGCTCAGACCCTCTGAGCCACAGCCGCTCATCTATATGTATTTTATTCACATGAGCGTATGCTATAATGAATTGTATTACTCAAGTCGACGACTCGACGCCTACGTCAAAGGGTTGATTGTTAGTGGAAGAACATAAACTAAAGCATACTTACAGCGCTGATAATCGTCGCTGGACGTTGCTGGAAATTCAGTTTCAAACGAAGCCGGTGTTGTCGTCGTCACCTTTTTAGGTGGTCCAGTTTTCTTAGTAGAAACGGACGGCTTTTTCGACGTAGACCCGCCCGCCGGTCTCTTAGTCGACGGCTTCTTCACCGTCGTCGTCGTCGGCTTCGAATTGGTGCCAGAGCTCGGTTTTTTCGTCGGTTTCTTCGTTACCTCCGTGAACACCGTCGTATTCTTATTGTACACCACGTCTTTCAAGCCCTGAAACGGTTCCTGGAGACTCTGCACGATTTTGTTCACGAAGTTATCCATCTTGATGTTCAAGGCGTCGTCCTCCAAAAACTGGGGCGTCGTAAATCCGTCCTCGTAGATCGAGGCGGATATGTTCAAATTTGGGTTGCGTACCGGAGGGAAATTGATGAGGTCGTTGACGGAGGTTTCGACTTCGATTTGAGGGGTGTAAAATTCGGTTGTGGGGCTGTACGGTTTGATGGTGGAGAGATTCGGTTTTGGGGTAATTAAAATTGTGGGGTTCGCCCCCTCCGACGTGCCGTACGAGTTATGCGTTACGTGATTGTTGATTGTAACTTGCGTTACTGGTTTCTTCTTCGTTGGAACTTCGGTGACAACGTAAGGGGATGACAGCGGGGTGTTTGTGGACGGGCCTAAAATTATGATTGTCGGAGGGGAGCTGGCGTAGTTGCTACTGGGCGTTGAGGGATAGGCCGAGGTGAAATCCGTTATTTCGTAGGTGGGCGTGTGTGGGGCCGTTGTCGTAGGACGTTTCGAAATTGTTGAGCTATAAACGTAAGAAGTTGACAATGGTTTCTTAGTCGTAACGTAGGCGCTTGGAGAACTGGCAAATGTAGAATGAGAGGGTCGGCTAGATGCAGTAGATTGAGACGGCCGATTGGACACTTTTTTGGTGGGTTTTGAAGAGGGTTTAGGTGATTTAGTTTTGCTGGTTGTGGGTTTTGAGCCAGGTCTGTGAGGAAGCGGAGTAGAACTGAAGACGTATGACGTAGATGGCGGTTTTTTAGTGGCAATTATTGTAGTTATTGGAGAAGTGGTTTGAATGACGGGGCGTCTAGATGGCGTTAAGCTGAACACGTACGAGGTGGAAGGAGGTTTTCTGCTACTAGCAGGTGTGTACTCGTAGGAATTTGCGTAGGACTCAGTAGAACTATTACTATCATTTAACATTTGTATTATGTTAACGATGGAATCAAATTCTTGAGTTTTATTGGGCTTTGGAGGTTGGTTTATTGTAGGCACCAAAACAAAGTGGTCATGGTCAGGTTTAGGAATTTTATTTGTAGCTGGTTTAGGTGTATAGTAATCAGGCGCATTTGAAATTGAAATGTGTATGTAAGGTGACGAAGACGTTGGTCGGTAACCCGGCGTTGTTGCTTCATTTCGTGTAGTTGTTCTTTTGTTGTCTGATACGGACGATATTTTAATTGGCCGTTTAAATTCATCCGGATCAATATTGTTATTTTCTGATTGCAATAGGTACGTCTCAGCTGTAGATGAGTGCGTTAGGCCAGGTGTGCTGAAGTGTCCATAATCTCCACTAACTTGTACCACCACGTTTTCTTGAGCTGTAGGTAACAACCCCTCGTTAATTAAGTATGCCCCTTCGTCGATAGGATTACTGGTGGTGGTAACTGTTCGCCTAGTGGTGGGACTGTACACGAAATTATTATCCGGTGGTCTCACTGGATTAAGATCACTTTCAACAAGTTCACCCATGACACCCATAGGTAGCTGACAACAAGCGCCGAATAGAAACCCATCCATACACGCACCGACAACTTGGCCATTCCTATGTGTGCATTCGTGATTGAACATACAAATAGTCGGGCCTCCTGAATCTGTCGCGATCTTTCTTGTAGGCTTACAAAGTCGCGGAGTTATTCTGTATCCACCAAACAGTTTTCTCGAATCTGAAAATGAAAAAGCGAAAATCAATTTAATGTACGAGCATAAACATTAAAATTATATTTTAGTTTAACCTTGGTATATTTCTCAAGGAAGTAATTAGAAACACGCACTTTATTAATTTGTCATAAAGTTAACGTGTATCGTTCTAATCATCCGGAAAGTGCGCTATTATTAATTCAGCAATAATTATTTTCCGCGCTTGCTAGAAGGAACTACTTTTGAATTCATTCAGGTGGAACTTCTGTTGCGATACAATGCAAGAAAGTGCAAACAGTGAAAAACTCGAAAAATCGATTAGTTTGTAATTCATAGACGTCACGTTGCCCACGCGTACTTTTTATAATTTGTGGTAATTAGAAGTGGATAGGAATGAATATCTCTACCCACTCCTTTGGGATTGGAATTTTCCAATACAACTCGAAACAATTTTAAAGTTATAACGAGTTGCAGCTTATAGGAATAAAAGGACGAGAACTCTGGGTTATGATTCTTTTTCCGTGCCTGTTCTCCATTCCCGGAGAGTGTTTACAATATACTGTATGAACATATTATGCCAGTTGGGGTATTAACAAAACATTTCAGGAACACTGCTGGGTGAATTTCGTCTGTCTGAAAGTTTCCGAATACGAGCTGAATGTTAAAAAATTCCCGCACTGAAAACATAGTGCCTTTAGAATTGTTTACTTAAGACCCTGCTTAAGACTATTCATCAGAGCTGGGCAGAATACTTAAAAAAGTATTTGAATACTATATTGTAAATACTTTACACAAATCAAAGGTATTTGAATACTAAATACTCTTACGTCCAGCACAAGCGAATACTTGATACATATACATTGAAAAGTATTCAAATACTTTAAAAAATAAGTATTCAAATACTTTAGAATGTATTCGAAAAAAAGTATTCAAAAGTATTCTAATACTATCAAAGGTATTCGAATACTTTGAAAAGTATTTCAAAAGTATTCGAATACAGTAAAAAGTATTCAAATACTTGTCACTCAAATATATTAAAAATTTAAAAATAAAATTTCTTATAGAATGTGGCCTGTAGAATCCATAATTTCAAACAGTTCCAAGATTGGGCTACTAGTTCAAAAGTTACAGCCCTTTGAATTTTCATTCGAAATTGGTTTCTAGTCTATAACTTTTGATTGAGAAGTCTGATCGAAAAAGTACGAATTGTTTTGGATTCTACGCACAAAAATTAATAAGAAAAAGTGTTTTCCCGAGAAATTTTGGTGTAGTCGATTTTTTGTAAAAAAGGAAGGTTAAGTATTCAAATACTTTGCGAAGTATTCGAATACTAAATATTTGTGAAAGTATTTGAGTTACAAATACACATACTGCTTCCAGAAAAGTATTTAATTACAAAGTATTTGAATACTTTAAAGGATTTGAATACTAAAAAGTATTTACAAAATCGAATACTGCCCAGCTCTGCTATTCATATTTTATAAATTATTAAAAACGCAAAGCAAAGGTCTCATAGGTGAATGAAATCATTTACCCATACCCTCGCTACCGAAATATTTCACTTTAAAGTCTATAATTTCTGTAGAAGTGTAGAACTTTATATTTGCGAAAAATTATTAATCATGGACAGCAACGTATGATTTAGACGTATCCATCATATCGCATTCGAAACTTTGATAAGGGTTCTGATCATATTAACGAAAGTGTCACTTTTCATTTGCATGTTTACCGATTTAATATCAACCTATTACACTACAACAATATCAACAAACAGATCTTGAAAAATTAGCCTTTTATTTAAACTAAACGGTTTTATGAGGTCAAAGTTCTTAATCACGAAACTCCGAAAACATGTGCTTTATAATTGATTTTGTATGGCCTTTACTTTAACCAAAGATTCCTCTTAGTCCCTCTTTTTTGTATGGAATTTTCCCAAATTATAAGAAAATATAACCGTGTTTCAATAGAACCTAGAAAAAAAACTATCTTTTTATGCATTACGAATTAATTACCCCGTATTTTTTTTACTTCCACAAAACATCTCTACATTTCTGAAGTATGACTGATTGACTTACTACTTTCAAAAACTTTTTCACATTTCCCCAGGATGACTTTCTATTTTATCAAAATTTCCACTTATGTCGTCAAAGGCATCTAGAATTTACTGCAATTTTCTTAAAATTTGTCGCATTAACATAAATTTTCATAATTTTGATACAGGGTTGGTATGTCCTCTTCATAACTTCGTGTGCAGGTTAGAGAGGAACTGGTTTTGAACCTAGAAATGTGGTAGACACAATGATCCTTGGCATGCCTAGGTGCTGCCTGGTCGGGTACCCCTTAAGAATAGCATAGAAGCTTTGGTGNCGGGTACCCCTTAAGAATAGCATAGAAGCTTTGGTGGAAACAGTGGAGCAGAAACGAGGCGAAAGAATCAAATATAGCCGTTTTCGTTAATAAGATTTTGGGGCGTTAATTAATCAGTAGAGATAGGTAGGGATTAATCAGAAAAAGAGTGATGGGGACATTCGAGTTTTGGTTAAATAACATTCAAGTCTAATTTGAGTTCTTGTTACCCCGAAAACGTAAAGTGTTTGGCGAATGTAACAAAATTGGGTTTTGGGGCATTCAGTCTTAGTCGTCATTTAGAAGAAATCCATGTTTTCTGGAAAATCTCCGAATGACTTGGGGAAATTTTTCGGAATTAATTCTTTTCCCCAGTGTTATTTAGAAGTGCACGAGAATGTTATTTTTTCCATACTTCTAATAAGTTCCGATTGGCGGAAGTATGAAAATTTTCTCCCAATTTTTATAATTTTTTCTAATGTTTCTCGCTATTGATTGATTTTTTAAATTCAAAGTGTATTCATTTCTACACCACCTTGAGGTACAGAACGTGGCGCGTCTTGTTTGTTTTGGTATTCGCGATAGACCTAATCCACAACGTCATGAAATAGCGCTTGAACCACGCGATTTTTATGGACTGTGACCGTGTAGCTCAGTGGTAGACCGTTGGGCTACATAGCCGGATGTTTTCCTGCAGTTTTGTAGAAAATTGAGTATTAATCGTGAATGAACACTATCGATAAATAAACATAAAGTTGCAGCTGGTGCCTGATTAAGCTAGTTTTTTGGAACAATAAAAAAGTTTTTCTGGAATCCTTTTGTACCAACCGGAATAGGCCCTCCTACTACGCCTCTCTTTAAAATAATAGTCATCAAATATACTATATAGTTTGTGATCGAACTGATACTTACTTTTCTTTTGAGCCGGACCTTCCACAAAAAGTATAACACGCGGCCTGAATGCTAATTAAACTTTCCTCATTCATTTTATTAAATACAAAAAAGAAAATCTTTAAAAGCTTTTCAACGAGGTAGGTGTATACTGTTGCGAAGATAAATATCACCACTTTGTTCTGTAAATTAATTATTGCTACCGTTGAGATTTGTAATCCTCATCATACTTTTTTGTAGAGTTATTAATTAATTATTCGCCAATGTAGGGCGTTGTTCTGAAGAAATTCTGAAACTGCTCCTGACCGTTGCGTTGATTAGTAGTATGTAATAAATGCTGTAATGCAGAGAAAACGATGAATGTTCGTTATTAAATGGGTATCATTTCTTCAATTCCAATTTAGAGAACAATAAGTTTCGTTTAGTTTCACGTTCTTTTGTATTTATAAAAGAAATGAATGAAATTCACAAATAAGAAATTCAATTTAATTTTTTGTTACGAAGCTTGCGCCAGAAAATTACATTAAACGTTTCAATTGTGCTGTGCTGTTTAAATTAAGAAGCGCCCCAAATTTCTGATGCTACGTCGTTATCAGATTTTGTTTCTTTCTTTAAATGTTTAAATGTAAATACTGTATTTGAGATAAATTTCTAAGCAGTCAGCACCGATTTTCTATATTTTATCGTTCCATTTCGTAGTAGAACCAATCCGCGGCCTGTCACTTATATTACATAATCACATTCCATTAGTTTATTTGTACCTTAATCCTTTTATGTAATTTACGTTATGTATTAACTCATTTTCGCACTAAATTATGTATACAATGTACTCCAATTAAAAATAACGTTCTTATTATTGTAGCTACGAAGTTGACTCAATTACCAAATACGAAGAATGTCAGGTGAAATCACGAAAATAATTCGAAACGGAGAGATTAACAAATATTTTTAAGGATTTTTTTATATACATATTTCGAAAAAAAATTGAATTCTGCCCTCAATTAAATGGTATCACATTTATAAATTGTTGCATTATTCAATGAAACCCACAAAAAAATTACAATCGGTTCAAAAAGCCAATTATTAAAAAAAAACCAATTCAGTATTAAACTTGGCGTCTTTGACGAATAATTGTTACTTTTGCTTGTAGTCTTTATATTCTTTTCTTTTCCCATTGTTGATTAAGGATAAATTAATTAACATTGACTGATTATTGCTTTGCAGCTGTGTTATTAATTAAATCGGCATTTAATGTCAACATAATTACTGATTCATTGGCCCGTATGAATAAAAGTAAGCAAATGCTTATACTTGGAAAATTCAAAGTAAATACTCGTAAGTGCTCCTTCGCACTGGGCGACTTAGCAGCGCTTCTGAGCAGAAGGACAGGACGCAGTGCAGCGCTGCTAAACCATGCTAAACAGACCAGTATGAAGGGGCAGTTACGACGGTGGGTGACTCAAAAACAACTAGATTTATCCCTAGAATTACGAAGTTCATGCAAGAAAAATGGCTTAAATCAAGCTCAGCTTAGGTTTGTCGATGCAAATGGTCATTACTCATTAGAATTTACATTGCGATTTGGGAAAATGATTTCTCTACTCAAGATTCGAGCGTTATAATAGTCTTTTCCAATTACGCCACCTAATATCCATAATTAGTGCAGATCTATGTAAACTGTATAACGATGTAGATGCCATATAGCTTCGATTTACAATGCCCCTAGGTGGTATGAATAATATTTTTTGATTGTTAATTAAACGAAAGGAATCCCTTCCCTGAATTGTTTACTTTTTTCCTGCATTTGCGTTGTGGAAAACGGATCGTATACAAACACAAAATTGATTAAAAAATTCTCAGTTTATTATTCACAGCCAAGTTATTTAAATTTTGCCTCACCACTTCATTAAGCTCAACACGCACTGATCGCTTTTATTGTACGAAAGTTAATCATTTGAAAATAGTCTCAAGATGTTGAGGGCACACGTGCAAATAAACTTCCATTTTGTTTATTTTCCAAAGAAAGGTAAGTAAACATAAATTGCATGTTTGGGTTAATTTATTTCAGTTACGTTAAGGTACGAGTATAATTAGGGTTAATTAAATGTCACATTCTTGCATGAAACAATCCATATTTATTACTGGTAGTCGTGTGTACGGCTTGTAAATGCGGCCTTACAAAGAATTGATAAACCATCAGCATATCTTTATCGATTTTATAACCGCGGCAACGTTGTGTTTTAATGTAACCATCATAATATAATAAATTACGGAGGAAGAAAAATGCACTTGGACTACACTACACGTAGCAATAATTTTTCTTCTACACGAACGTACTTCGTATTACGTCTCACGTTCTACTTATGTAAATACGTTGCGTATAAAAAACTTGATCTTGAAATTGCCTTAAGGCACGATTTTTGCAAATGACGTCGATCCTCGGCTTGGCCAGATTGCTTATTTCTCGAGGGATTTCATTACTCTGGTAGTTTTGACGTTTCAATTATCCGCCGAATGAGACTGTGAAATAAAAGGGAATATTTATCCGATTTCAAAGAATCAAACGAGCTACCCTCATAACTTCATGTACTGATATTTTTAAGCTCCAATGGCCCATGTATCTTTTGTCCTATTAACGATATAAAATAGCCGAGTTTGGACAAGACGCAAGGTACAGATTATATTGGAGTAACCTGGAATATACCCGCTATTTCAGGATTAATTAAAGTTTTTAAGCAATTCTTTCCTTCTTTTTCCTTCACTTTCTCCGCAGCTGTCTCCTCATATCCTGCGACCTTTCCTTTTTAGCGCATTTTTGCAAATTTATTTGTAAAAAGTAGCTTTTAATCTCACTTTGGCTGGCTGGCTGGCTGGCTGGCTGGCCGGCTGGCTGGTCGCCTGGCTGGCAGCAAATGTGGGCGCGTAGAAGAACTCTTGTAGAAAGGCAACGGGTGTACGTATATCTACAAGGCCGTGTAATTTGTAAACCTTGGGGACAGGGCTACATGATGTGGGGTTGGCGACATCTGGGCGTCATCCTCGAGCGTAGTATACTAACGTGAAGGTTTTTCAGTTTTTTCCTATCTTCTACTACAGTTTTGGTCCGATTCTTTTCAAATTGGTATCGTCGGAAAGATGTTGTAAACGCGCACAACTCCTGCGTGGCGGAATTTTGTTTTTTGATCTAGGGGCGAAATTAACGACCTTTTGCAAGGCGCGCGCGCGCGTCTTCGTAAGGTAGTCAACTTCGGGCACCTTTTACTTTCCGTTGCGAATTCTGTCACGCGTTTTAACGTTTCGT